CCCCCCGGCGCCCGGCGTTCGCGGGCAAGGGCGGCCGACCCCGAAACCCTTTTGTCGGCCCCGACGGCAAGGCCTCATGGGCCGCAATGACCAACCACAAGCATCCTTCCCCGGGATCGAGAACCACAGAAATCGTGCGTAAGTCCCCCCCTTTGCGCCCCCTCGCGGCGACTAGGGCGCGGCACGCGGCGCGCATGATCGCGGCGTTCCGGGGGCGATGTAACGGCGGCAGGCCGGCACGGGCCGATGGGTTTGCCGCTGCGGAGGAAAGGGTTAACCTGCGGCGGCGCAAGGACGAGGCCGCGGAGGCGATGGAGGGGGCAGCGCCCGTGGAAGTTCCGGCGGAGGATGTTGGTCCCATCTTCCGCGATCCAGCGTGGGAGGCGGCCGAGCGGTCGTATTTGACACTGTCGGTGGACACGCTGAACAACCTGACGCGGTCCTACAACCTCATGGCGCCCGAGCTGGCGAAGAAACCCTATTACTCGCTGGAACGCGAGCTCAAGGCCTGCTACGCCGATGTCGCGCCGCTGCTGCCGGACATGATTCGAGATCGGGGGCTTCGGCCGGCGAGGTCGCTGCTTGCCGAGGGCCAAGACGCGGCACAGCCGCCGAGCATGTTTGCGCAGCTGGGCGGCGAGGGCCACGCGAGGGTGTACGATAGTAGGGCTCCGAAATACGGGTTCAAGGAGATGTGGAGAGACATTTGGGGAACCAAGAAGGCTTAGGAACGATCCTGCAGCTGGTGGGGCTGTCAGAGTATACATCACACTAGACCCGTAAATCAGGTGGTATCGAGAGAGCATGTCACATGCTGACCAAAGATGCTCAACCTTGAATCGTACTAAATCAAATCATGGCATTTCCCGTAGGAAAGGTGCGACGAACTAAATGACACACGTTGTATGGCCGTCATCGCCATCTCTCGACTCGCGACGGACCACCTATTCAATCAATCCTGGGTGCAGCGCTACACGACAGCAGCACGCTTCTCCTCCTCAGCCAGCTTGCCGGGAGCGATGACATCCTCCACAGTCTCATCGGTGCCACGGAGATCCTCCTCGACATCGGTCGTGTCCTTGATGCGCATCCAGATGACGGGAGCGGCAATGAGGAGGGCAGCACCGAGCATGCCCCAGGTGGCGCCGAAGATGGTGTCGTAGGGCGTCTCGAGACCGTCGAGGCGCCAGAAGACGGCGGCACCGGCAGATTGGATACCCTGGTGAGGTTAGCTGGATGTCGGGCGAAGCAGGGGCTCGAACGCTTGCGTACCTTGTAGAAACCAGCGAGGTTGGCAGCCTTGCGAGACGAGTTGGAGAGAGAACCCATGTACCTAAAAGAGCGTCAGTCAAAGAATAGGCATCGGGTCGTTTCCGTGGGGCCCCGTCCCCTGTATATGGTTTTCTGTTTTGTTTTTTTCTTTTTACTCCCGCATAAGAATCACCGGGAATATGGGGTTTTATTTTATCGCTTACTCTTCCTATGTTCATTTATTGTTTTTTCTTGGGCCTCCTCCCTTTTTTTTTTTTTTTTTTTTTTTTATTTCCCAGATGACCATGGTCAGGACAATGAGGACAATGTAGGAGCCGCGGGCGCGCCACGAGCGACGCACGCCGGGGAAGTCCAGGCCGTAGCCCATGACGAGGGCACCGATGATCTGCGCGAGCCAGTAGAGCAGACTGTTGAGGGCGCGGGTGCGAATGTTGAAGTGCATGAGGTTCATGCCGTTGTTCTGGTAGGTGTAGAAGACGTTGGACGTGAAGAACAGGGGGAACAGCAGCAGGATCCAGAGCTGGTCGCGGATGCCCTCCCACAGGCCGAGAAGCTCCGACTTCCACGAAGGGTTCTTCATCATGATCACCTTGGAGCCATCCTCACGCTGAACCTTGCCGGCATCGACGAGGAACAGGGCCATGACGGCGCCGAGGAACATGAGGATGATAAAGGCGGCGTAGGTGCCGTCGTTGACCTGGCCGCTGCGGCTGTTGATGTTGTCAGCCAGAGGGATGAGCGAGCCAATGACAGCGCCGAGGTTGAAGATCATCCAGAACCAGGAGATGTAGCGGCCCTTCTCGTTCTCGGGCGGGTAGGACATCATGATGGCGCCCTGGGCGGCCCACAGCAGACCGGCGCAAACACCGAGGAAGGCGCCAGCAAAGACGACGAAGCCGTGGTTCTTGGTGTGGCTGTACGAGAGGAAGCTGGCAGCGTAGACGCAGTAGCCGATGCCACCGAGAGAGAGGGTGATGCGCAGGCCGAGACGGTTGGCGAAGGAGCCGGCGAAGAAGCCGACGACGGCAAAGGTGCTGTAGAGGGCCGTGTTGGCGTCGTTGGCGGCCTTGGGGTTGACCTGACCACCGCCGCCGAGACCGCTGAGGGCGTTGAACATGCCGGGGCAGAGGAAGCAGACAAAGGAGACCATGAAGAGCTGGATGCGCGGCGAGGCGTACCAGTACTCACGGCCAAACATGCGCCAGCCCTTGTAGATCCAACCGGCAGGACGGGGGATCGACTGAGCGGGGAAGCTCGCGGAATCGGCGACCGAGGCGGCCGTGTCGCCGTGAACATGGTTGTCGGCAGCGGCGGCGGGAACCGCCGTGGCGGGGGTGGTGTTGTGGGCGTCGGCCATGGTGGTGAGGCGTCGCACCGAGATATTTCCCAATTGGGGATCTGGGGTGGTACTGCGCGCGGTGGCGTCCGGCACTGAACTCGGTTGGTTCAGGTTCAGGCTGGGGGGAATTGGGTGGTTGGCCGGATGAGTGCCGTACCCAAGCTGAAGCTGCAGTGCAGGGTGTCTGCGTACGAGCGACAGGAAGAGAGTGAGCGAGTCGAGGAGAGTGAGTGAGTCGAGTCAAGTGGGAGAGTGATCGGGCCAAGCGAGCGTCGATCCAGATTCAGACCAAGACCAGAGGAGACCGAGAGCCGCGTACCGTAGACCTGGCTGTTGATGGGTTTTCCTGTCGTGATGAAGATGGGGCAGGGTCGGAATGGGAAGACGAGGAGGAGGAGGAGGCAAGGTATTAAAAGAACCAGGTGCACCCTGAAATGCGGAGAAGGTTCGGGGGAGGGAGGAGCAGCAGCAGCAGCAGCAGCAGCAGCAGGAGAAGGAAGGTGAGGAGGAGGTGAGGAAACGACAAAGATCGTCGTGGGGAAGGAACGGCCGAAGAGACACACACACGCGGGCGCGCGCACGGCAAGGTAGCAGTTGCTTCGGTCGATTGGATTTTTCTGGCGGCCTGGTCGTTCTTTGCTTTGCACCTGGCCTGGCCCCAACGTCGAGGTGCATGTGTCGGGCCTGCCTGGGCTAGGTGCCCAGGTGCAAAGCCAGGCGAGGAGCCAGGCAAGCCAGGGCAGGAGCTTGAGTCGCAGCCCGGACGGAAGCTACGTGACAGCGGGGAAGGACCCCTGTTCCAGTCCACCTTCCTGCCCCCACCTCGAGTTGTCTCGACGTGTGCTGTGCTCGACGTGACACTGGGACTGCTACCATGTACTAAGGTACGTCAAGAGGACACTTCCTGGAAGGTATGCGGCCTCTGCATCCCGCCAAACGGCTCACCAGATGAACTTTGTTCGTTCCTGGGGCATCTTATCAGGAATGCTCACTCGTCCAACAGGCGACATCAAGTGAGACCCTAGCCTGTGGGTAGGGACTGATTGCCGGAGTCC